ATAATCCCTCTAACCATGATCTTTATTCAAGTTTTCATTCATTTAATTATTTAAAAATATTAAAAAATATCTAATATTATTTTAGACAATATTATTTAATATTCAACGAAACGGCATTGTTTTGGAATTGAAAAATTAAAAAAATAGAATTATAAAGACTATTATAACCTAGGAATAAATTAAAAATACAATTACACCATCATTTTCGCATCAAAACGACATCGTTTTGATGAATATTAAACAAAATTATCTAAAGTAACTTTAAAAAAAAATGAACTCTTAAATAACTTATCAAACATAAGTCCATCAACAGTTGTGGTCAAAGTAGTATTTGTTCTATCATGATGACATGGATGTCCAAATTATAGATTGATATGTTACTATTGGATTTAGATGCCTCTTAGGTACGGGTAAGTACCTTAGGACTTGTTTGAGAGTTATTTTGGGAGGGAAAGAGAAGGAATGAGAAACTTTTTTTATATCTTCCTATTATTAAAAAAATTAAAGAAGAAAATTGGGGATTTTTATAAAATCTTTCAAATCCTTTCTCGCCCTTAAAATCAAGATTTCTTGAATTTGAGAGATTTGAGGAGGAGAAATATTAAAATTACTTATTTGTCCTTCACATTCAAATATAAAAATTACATAAATATAAATCATTTTTTAAATGTGACTTTACTAGAAAAGTCTCAAACATCTACAAAATTTACTGGCAGAAAATATATCGTAGAAAATAGTGACAATTTTTTATGGTAAAATTTCAGTCAAATTTTTTGACAGAATCTAAATTTCGTTGAAAGAGACGGAACAAGATTTGGTTAGAACCATTAATGAAAAAAACCCTGTTAAAATTTTGGACACAATCTAAATTCCGTCAAAATTTCAAAGGAAACATTTTCTTTGAAAATTTCCTGGAAACATTTTCGTCAAAATTTTTGAAGGAAAACATTTCCGACAAAAATTGTGAGGGAAACTATTTTTGGTAGAAAATTTTGATGGAATATTTTTATTGACACTTTTTATGAAATTTTTTTGATTTCAAAAATATTTAAAAACTCATTTTTGTCAAAAATTTTAGCGAAATATAAATTCCATCAAAAATTTCGAGAAAAAACATGCAAAGCCAATCCATGTCCTACTTTTGCGTGAAGATTTCTAGGAAATTTTTTTTGGTCAAAGACTTTGGACTGATTTTTTTTTTGTCAAAATTTTTTGACGAACTGCTGTAAATAAAATTTATGTTAATGCTTTATTTTTTTACTAAAAATATAATATTTGTGACGAATTATTTTTCGTTGAAAATTTGGACTTTAATTTATATCCAACAAAATTTTTGACAGATACTAAACTTTGTTGCCTTTGGAAGAAGCGCATTATGTTCGAAAAATTTCGACAAAAAAGTATTTTTCGACAAATTTTTTGTTGTTTACAACAAAAATATTTCGTCCAAAAGATGGTCAATTTTCGTAGTGTGAAAAAGTATATGAATTTTTTTTTTGAAATTTTAAATTTAATTTCATTTGGAAAATATAATAATTACATTAATTTTTTAAAATGTTAAAATTATAAAAATATTTCATTAACCCTCTGTTTTTCTCTCTTATCATAATTTTTTTTAGTAAACAAACAAAAACCTTTACCAATTTTTTAACTCACAAACAATTGAAGGGAATACTATTCATTTTCTTTCCCTTCCTTTCTCTCCCTCTCCCTTGGTTACCCTTCATTTCCTTCCTCAAACTCTCAAACAAAGTCTTAGAGAATAATGTATATGCACTATAACAAAACGTAGACAAAGGTATGATATGTGTGCACAGTTACAACCAATAAAGAGTATTTTATCATGTGTGTACCTGACTGGCTTAACCTTTTATTTATAGATAGGTTATCAACCTTGAGTAGATTTCTTGGCCCATAAGGAAATTGGGTTCCAATTCCCAATCCTTAGTTGTCGCACTAATATTGGTGTAACTAATGAATCTTTTCTTCATTTTCCTCTCAATCGTTCGCCGTTCTTGGGTCTTTTAGAATGTGAGCATTTATCGGGCCCATAACAGTTGCCTCCAACCTTATAGTCTGGTTGTCCAGATTGCTAGGGTGTAATAATCGTTAGCTCTTCTTGGACCTTATAGAATGTAGGTCTCCATCTCAAGTCTATAACAGTGTCATTTTTCTATTAGTGGTGTTTGGTAGGGAAGATTTTTTGAGATTACTGAAAAAGTGATAGTGGTAATCTTATTTACCTACGGTTAGTATAAGGATTTGAATTTTTTTTTTCTGGAATCTAATTTTTCCGAAATTTTATTTTATGTATAATTTTTCTTTCAGAATGTCATCCAAATAATAGTATTCTTGAAATTTCAGGTATTGAAATTTTTTTAATCTTTTTGAGACAAAATTTCAATAATATTTTGATCTACCAAATAATTTTTTAATAATATTTATGCGAAAGTAACTTTTTCAAAATATTTCGCAAAATCATGATTTTTGTTCATGAAAAAATTTATCTCTACCGAACGCCGCTTAAGAAACTGATTGATTTTAACGTCGGTTTCTTTTTTATTTTTATTTTGAACCTCTTTCTAAAAAAAACATCAAAAAGAAAAAAAAGTAATTAAGTATGCCAAAAACAAGACGTAGGGCATACTTTAAAACGTGGCCGGTAGCTTTGGCAAAGATGGGGTAATTCACTAATTTGGAAAGAAAATAAGAAAGAGTGAAACGCGGAAGGAAGTAAGAAGAAACGTGTTGAACAGGTATTTCTCCACGCTAAACGCGTGACGGTGGCACGTGACCCAAAAAGCATAGCTGAGTCGGTCTAAAGCAATAAAGTTAAGTGTAAATGTCCTTTTTGATCTTCAGCAAATTTTACGATATCCGATTTAGTCTCTAACAAATTAAAAAGGTCCATTGTGGTCCTTAAGAAATTCAAAATAGACAAATTTAGTTGAAATCGTGGTCCCTCACAATTTCAAAAAAAGCCCATATTAGTCCTCAAAAGGACTAAAATGGGTTCATTTTATATTTCTTAGGAACCACGATAGGCCTTTTTATTTGATAGGGACTAAAATGGGCATCGTAAAATTTGATGAGGACCAAAAAGGTATTTACTCTAAAGTTAAAACCCACTAACAGAAATAAAATTTTAAAAAAAAAATTGTTACCGTAATTTTTTTAAGCGTAAAAAAAAAATAACAAGGCAGAACAGAAAGACGGAAAAGAAAAGAAACGAAAAACGATCGCATGACAAGACACTTAACGGCCTTCACTTGTTGGCATAGATTGAGAAATGTTATTTTATTTTATTTATAAACGGTGTCTAAGACTCAGATAAATGTCGTATATGTAATTATTAACGGCGCAAATAAAAATATTATAAACTAATAGACTTATATAATTTTTAAGAAAACTACTACCTGATATTGTCTTTTACAAGGAAAAAAATTCTAATTGAATATTCTTATCTATAAACCGACAATTTTATTTCTCGCGCACATAAAAAAATATGTAGAATTTGTTTATTTTTATTTCTTTCTCTTTTCTTAATGAGTTTTACTAATTTTTCTAAGTGTGTACGAGATAAATAAAATTATCTCATGTAATATAAAAAATGTAATATCAATAAGTATATGAGTGCGAGAATAACAGTATAGAATCAACTTTCGTGTAATCTAATAATTTCCTAAATATAAATAAATTTTAGATGCTCTCATATAATAGTTGAATCAACAGTATAGAATAACAGTATTTTAAGCAAATAAAATCAGATGCTCTCAAATAATAGTTGAATCCACAACCAGCATGGATATCCATGGCTCCGCACTTAACCCATTAAATAGAAAACTAAATTTAGTTAGTGTGATCCATTTAACTGATTAGGATCAATATATCAGTGCTTGTGACTTGTCGTAACTAAAAAGAAGTACCACTCTTAATTTTGTAAAGTGTAATCTGAACAAATTGTCCTCTTTGGTCCAAAAGCGCTAAGAATAAAAATTAGGAATCTGATTTTTTTTTTTTAATAAGAATGTGAAATCTTACACTCTAAGAAACATTAACTAATGAATAAGTCACAACAGTTTCCTTGAAATCTTAAAAGACATTCTTTATTAGGAAAGATTTCACATTACACCAATCAACACTTGATTCTGACCCTGATAAGGTTCTTTCTCTTTAAATGGGGTGACAAAAAAGATTTCTAATTAGAAAAATTTAACAGAAATGCATAACTTCAGTCGATTCCAACCCGGGGAGGAAAAATCACGTTTAGGATGACAACATGAATCACTTTAACTTTATCATCCTCATGATTAGACCCATCAACAAATTGCCAAGGTAAGAAAGTTTCCAACAAGTGACACTAACCCGTTCAATTTACGACAAATCTACGTATGCTTTAGGTAATGCGTTTTACTTATACGGTCCATATTCAATAGTTACATCAAGGATTCTAAGCCCTGGATTTCTGCATTCGATATGAGAGTGATAAGTTTGAAGAGATCACGGCCGTCCAATGATGTTCAATGGCACAGAGTGTAAAAAACCCAGGTACTACGGAACCGCCTATAGAATAATATTTTTTTATTTTTCTATGATTGAGGGCGGCTGACCTACTCTCCATTTTCGAGAACCAATACAACTTGCTTTCACAACAACCAATGAAAGATCGACACGTGCATGTGCTGACGACTCCCCCCAAATAAGCCGGCCGTAGTGGGCCCCATGGTATTGGAAGCTAATATGGCCTTCACCACAACCAGCATTCAAGGCCACTCAGCACAAGTTATATTGATAAATTTCTCTTTCAAAATCAAAGATAAAGTGGAGGAAAAATACTTGTTTATAAGAGATAAATTATCTCTTATATATACATAAGAATATAAAATTCATATGAACCAAGAAAGAAAAAAAGATAAAATACACCTCACATTTTTATACATATATAAGAAATAACAGTAAACATTTGCATAAAATTATAATAATTGGAATACACGTGGAAAGAAAATGTAATAAAATCTCTTTATTTTGTATTTCCATATATAAACATACCACCTATTTCCAAGAAGTACATTGTCATTTGGCTTCTTCCCCCACCTCACTAAACCACTATTTACATCCTCAACCCCAAAACTTAGGTATAATTACTCTAGAAACCAAACCTATGTTTGCATATCTTTAACTAGGTTGAAAAGAGCCTTACTTATTTTGCTACACGCACGGCTACACCATTCTTTTGCTTACTGCACCATCAACTATTTCACAGGTGTCTAGTCTTATTTTCTACTTCGTCAACCTTTTTGGATTTTCTATATATACAAAACGCTAGAAACCACGACAGGAAGCATAAGAGAACAGACGTCGTAATACTTGCACTAGTATTATATATCAGGGGCATTATAGCAAATAACCTAAAAATACCAACTATCTAGTATTCTATGATTAGTCCCCCCATTGGGGCTCGGTGCGGTATTCCCTTTCTTCTCTTGGCCGTTCTGTAATTAACTGAAGTTGGGGGTGGTGTAGATGGTGTGAAGCTCTGCACTTTGCTGTTCTTCTGCCGGCCATGGCTGCTGCTGCTGCTGCTGTATGAATCCTCCGAGTCCGATGCCATTGTAGCTGGCTGCTTCTTCTTCTGGAAATTCTTAGATGTTCCTTTAATCTGCAATTCATATTCACATTGATTAATGAACCAAAATACAAAAATTGAATACAATAAACGTAAGGTAAGGTTGTTGAAGCCAATGGTTTTGACAAGTTAAGGATTAAAAGTCAATATTTGAATCCCAAGATTTCAAACTTGAGTGGTGGTTTAATGCTTTGAAGAAATTTAAGGCAAAAGAATAAATCAAAAGATCCAAGAGAGTCCCGTGAATCAAAGGGTGCCCATTTATTTTCATGGCTATAAGAAAAAGTCAACTCAGTTGAACCAAAAAGTTTCCTCTGCTCGCTTGAAAAGAAAGCAAACAAAAGTCTCACTTTTCCAAGTTTTTATATCTTCAAAATGCTTAGAAGCTGAAACAATGAATGGATGAAAGACATTGGTGGTAAAGTACCTTGCAACCCAGAGAACAGAACCGGTAAGAATCGAGAAGGCTACGCTCGCAGACTTCACAAGTGTTTGTGACACCTTTTCCAGGCCTTGGCTGAGGCCTCTCGTTCAAGAACACCACCTTGGCGCTGTTGATAATGTAGGTTTGGACGCCAGTGATGTCCAACACCTTCTGAATCTCAGAGACCCTGATCACATCATGGTACGAGGATCTCCTAATCTGTCATAAAATAAAAAAAGAACTGAGAATGTTAGACGGGAATGGTTAAAGAGAGAACACGCATTGAATAACAACTCAAAATCATCAAAAGCTGACATTTTTCTCTCCCCCTGAGTGGTTACTTTCACACCATTCTAGGAGTTGGTAAATGCAGGACACGGTTTGACAAGGGACAATTGGGCACAGAAATTGAAAATAGAAACCAATTAATGACAGTTCAAACCTCTGCAGGGAAAGAAAGGTGGGACTTTTTAACTGAAATCCAGGAAAAGAATGAATCTAGTAGCTCCATAAATGGAAAATTGATGATTTTGATAACAATGACAGTGTGAGACCTGAACCAAGAATGACTCAGATGCAAAGTCGAAAACTTTGATCAATTCATGAATGATGTAACAAACCTGGATGGCACGATGATCCTTGTGGTAAGCGAGGCAGAGAGAGCAGAGAGGGCCGTTCATACAGTCCAAGCAATACATGTTACATTCACTCTTGTGAGAATCAGCATGTAACTTGCATTGAACAAAGAAGCTCTCTTTGAGCAGAGGCTTCAACCATGGCGGCCACCTGTTGTCCTCATCATCAGGACCTCCAGCACCCTATTCAAAATCAATCAAAGACAAAAATTTGAATCAGACCCAGAACAAAATACAATAAAATAGGGCCAAAAAATTCAACAATAAAATCCCAATGCCTTTCCACCCCAAGAACAAAAAAGAGCATATACATTAGCTAGACTCATCAAACATAATGAGAGGAAGTTCAAATGAAACAATCTAGTATATACATACCATGATTCTCCTGTTCTTGGGCTTGATTTCTCGGACAGGGGTGTCTTGGTTTTCGATTGCCATCTTGAACAAAGTGGTTGGAGACACAGTTTGTGTGCTTGAAATGAATGTAAGAGGGTGAGGGTTTTTTTTTTTGTTTTTTAAAGAGAGAGTAAAGAGAAGCAGAGAAGAGATATGTTTTGAAGTTAGAACTTGAAGAAGTAGAGAAGAGTGGGGGCAAAGAGGGAGGGAATGGGTTCTTGTAAGCGGTAGATGGCGTTCTAGAGAGAGAAAGATGAGAGAGGTTAGGGGTCGTTCTTATCCGCACAAAGTCTTCAACCAAACCTAGCTCCGAACCCAAACCAATAAGATGCGTTGGGCTTAAGGAACCCTCCTCCTTCTTTCCTTTTTAATCTTCATTAAATATTAACATTTCATTTTCACGTTGTCTCTTTGAGCTTATCATATATATTTTTTTATTTATTTCTCTGCTTCGACTAATTTTGCTTTCATTATTAGTGATTAAAGCATTTATTTTTTCCACCAAGTGTTTCTTTAGGCATGGATTTGGGCACACTTGTTTCGTCCTCTTGTATTAATAAATAAATTTTCGCGCCTTTTTTTATATATGGTAAAACATCTGATGTTTTTTTTAGGGCTGCTCAGGCCCGTATCCTAATCCAACTTGTATTGGTTAATAATACGAAAAATCTTTCAATTGTTGACCCAAATGTATTAGCTATATTGGGTCTTGTCCCTACTATATGTATACGAGCTAAAGCCTAGGCTATTCCTATCAGAATTCTTGGTTTTGGTTTAACAATGTTTTCTCCAAAAAAAAAAAAAGAGAGTTAAATATTGATAAATTAGTCAAGCCATCAACCAACATAAACTCTGTTTTCGCTAGAGGATGTTTGATTAAAATGCACATTGTAGCGATAACTAAGATAACAAGTTATGTGGTGTTTGAATAATAATATAAAACCAAATAAATGGTAGGAAGTGTAAGCATCAACCCCAATAATGTGGGTTAGGTCTTGGTTGGCCATCCCTGATTAGAATCTATAACAGAACCACTTATATGAGAGCAATTACGATTTCTAGAAACAATTGTTTCAACAAATATTAAAATGTAAAAATATTATCCCATTTTTTAGGTTACAGGGTTTTCTTTTTAATTTGTGTCTATAGTATGCTATGTAATATTAGGTAGGATATACTTACAACCAAAAAAGTTTACCATATTTACAACTAATTTAATCATCGATGATTTTCGTCAATCTAACGGTTATAATTTATTGAAAATTAATAATTAATTAATAAATATGACCCAATAATTTTCAATAAATTATAACCGTTAGATTGACGAAAATCAACGATAATTAAATAAGTTGTAAAGATTATAAATTTTTTTGGTGGTAAACATATTATTCTCCATAATATTAATGTTCAATGTCTATTTAAGCTTATTTTGGAGTGCTAAACTGCAATGATGATTAAAAGATATCACATTTTGAATACTCCTTGATATGCTGATAAACAATATACGATCTATAGAATTGTTAACCTCCACATTAGTAACGTAGATATGACGTCGTTCACATTTTTAATACTCTCTGCACCCCCTCCAACCATGAAAATAAATAAAAGAACTATCTACTCCAACTCATAGCAGTGATGATCGTATTTGACCTTCCCTTCTGCAACTCCTATCCCAAGTGGATTTGTTAGATTTAGTAATAATCGGTGTTTTGATTTTTAAGGTAATTTGGAAATTAAAACGGTGGTTTAGCGGTTACGCCTTGGTTAATGACCCTGGTCAGTAGCAGCAGTGTAGCAGGGAAGTGAGATGGTGCTGTGTCATAAGATTACACGCCACTTGTTAGAGAAATTTCTGAAACTTTTGGAGACAAAAAAGTCGCATCTTGATCAATTTTATTTTCCGTAGATTATATGAAAGTCAACTGAGATAAAGAATTTCCCATCAACAATCAATGACTGAATGGAGGACCATAAATCATTGTTACTCATTGGTGCATGCTATGAACGTTTTAAGTGTTTTTAATGCTAAGTGATATATGATTAATTTTGTTTAAATAAAATTTTGGTTTAAATTTTTGTGATTGTAAAAAATTTGCTTTAAAAAAAATAATATTCTCTACTCAAATATTATTGCCTTTCGTGTAAAAGTGACATGTCTAATTTATATATATATATATAATTTATCATCATCTCATTTGATATAATAAGGTTGGACTCTATTAACTCTGAGCGTTAAGTATTCAAATCAACTCCCTTTGTTTACTTTGTCAAAAGAGGATCAGACACTTGCGGTTGCTTTGCTAAGTAGTTGGAATTTGTTTTCCGATATATCGCAAGAATACATCACACATTTTGTTATTGGGTATTACTATTAAGTTTGGATAAACTTATAACTTCTCTGCATAAATAAAAAATCATGGAATCCATTAAATTTTTTAAAAAAGGCTCATAGGATGTTTTGGTGTATGTGCAAGAAGTTATGATACGCGGATACGATACGAAAATTCGTGTTCAGGTTAAACTACAAAAAGTTTTATGTCGTATTCATATTAGAAAAAATGACTCGCAAAAAATTTGCGTCATATCATGTCAAATTTATGTCGATCCGTATTTTTTAATTATTTTTTAAGATTTAAACCGTAATTTTTTTTGTCAATTACAATTTTAACTCATAATTTGCGTGTCATTCGTATCGTGTCAATCGATAAAAAATTTATGTCGTATTCATATCGTGTGTATTTGTGTTATATCGATATGTTTTGACACTTTTATTTTCTTAAAAAATTTAGGCTTGTTTTAAAAGCGGAAATTTTAGTATAAATTAAATAATAGATCATTTGCGTAAAGATTAGACGGTTGATTCATATTTATTTGAAAAATTATTTTTGTGTCTCTTTAATCCAATGAATTGCTTAAGATAAACAATTCTGGGTGTTTGAGTTCTAACACTAGGTGAGCTTTGCAATCAATTATGTGTCTAATTTGTACTTTTTTTTCTGAATGACTCTAGTCGGCAAGAAATTATATCCTTTTGCACAGTGCCTTTCTTTTGCTCTCCTTTTGCTTGTAGTTTTCAGGATTTGGAAGATGACAAAATGGTCACGTCACTAGTAAGTACAGTATTCATGATGACTTTTGTTCAATGAGACATCATCCTTAATTATGAGGAATATTAATTTTTTTTTTGGTAATCGAGGAATATTAATTTTTATGAGGATAAGATGTTGTGTTTAAATATTTTTAATAATTTAAAATATTTATTATGGTTGAGGGAAATTTTCCACCCCCAATTTTTAAGTATCTATCTAGACAAGAAAAAAAGGTAGCTTGACGAAAAATTGAATCTACAACAATAATATTACACCTAAATTTTAAAATTTAAATCAATGTCAATTAAAATACATTCTTACATTTCTATAAAAAAAAAAAAAGACACTCTTACTTTAAAAGAATATATACAAAAATAAATTATTTTAAAAATAAATTAATCAAAATACTAAATACGTTGAATTAAAATATATTGTTGGGAAAAGTTATTCTCATGTTACATGAGGTAAGTTTTCTTCTTACACACCCTTCGATAACTGTGCAACATTTTTCTTTTATTTATTTTTTATTTTTTAAGTAGTGCGTCCCACCACTATGTGTATACAACATAAGATTTCTTCTCTCATGCAACATGAGACTAGATAAGTCCTATATTGTTAGCTAATTTTCAAAGGAAGTTCAGTTGACAACTGAGCTCCTAAAAAATTGCTTGGGTCAAAGGTTTAAACTTCAAACCCTATTTCAATGACAAGATAGCCTTCGAGACCATACTCTGAGTACAAGATAGCCGGAAAAGATTGAATGACGATACCTCCAGACTCCAGGTTATAAAAATAAAATAAAATAAAATATAAATAAATATATTGCTAGCTTGTTATATTTAACTTTTATAAAAAAAAATATTTAATGTTAGATTTGGATTTAACTTTTTAGTTAATCTCAACACTCACACTTTATTTTTTGTCATTATCTTGCTAAATTTTAGAACTTAAAAAAAATATTTATCATTTTCACTTTGAACAAATTGTCCAAGCAAAAGCTAGTATCACATTTACCTACAAGAGTGGGGTGTGTGGTGAGTTAAACTCCCATAAAAAAAGAACCTAAGTTCAAGTTCTGAAAGATTTTTTTTTTTCAGTTCAAAGTAAAATTCATCATTAAGTTAAGGTGGACCCTGGGAAAATCCCGTAGGAACTCGTGGGAAGTAAAAATAAGAAAGAAAGCAAAATGCATTGTGAGACTCTAACCCTTTCATTCTTATCACGTGTGGCGCACAAATCGACAGCCAAGTTGTTTAAAAGGAATGGCTTTTTTATTATTATTATTTTCACAAACAGTACAATCGTTGAATAATAAACTCTCCAAGTCTTTTTAATTTCAATAATTTACACTCCTCAATCCTAACATAGATTCGGATAAATGGCGAAGGTTATTGGTTTGATACAATTTATAAGGCAATTTAAATGTTTTGTACAGAAAGATTAAACTTTTCTTTATAAATTTTATCACATTGCCCCATTGCAATTTCTAATGACAAGTTTCAACAATTAATTATCTAAAAAATTTGCACGGTTAAGTTAAAGTTTATGAATGATTTTATATTTAATAATAAAATTATATTTCTAATTAGCATATAATTTGATAATATTTTTTAAACTTTTAAAATGAATAAATTTCAGGTTTGAGAGAAAGAATCCTAATGATCGAGGTGTGTGATATGAATGAATAGGAGGCCAGGCATCTCCACTAGAGAGGAAGATGACCATTTCGCAAATAAACATTAAAAGAGAACCGGGGGGGATGGGATACCACTCGAGAGTATTTTCATTACTACCATCATAATGTTCACTAGATGCGACTGTAGTATTTACATTATGTATTCCTATAAATACATAGGAAAAATATTTAAAAAAAAATCTCTCTTCAAGAACTATTTCAGCTAATGTGACACACTCCTATTGATCGGTTGTGGTTGACGAGATTATGCAAGAGGAAGAAGTGATGGTTGTGGCAAATAAGAAAAACGTGGAAAACCCTAAACATTTGGGGATGGGCTGCAAAGAAAAGTGATTTCTTATAAGGATATATTACTTCACTTTAATGGTGATTGAGGAAATATTGATAGCCAATAGGAAGATTGGATATCCAAACAATGTCGAGAGGAGACTAAAGATGATGAGACAAACACTGAATCAAGTGATGAAGACGATGATCCTTTCTATCCAAGTTATTACTAAGCAT